ATATAATTGATGAACTACTACAAAGTTAACCCAACGAAAAAACGAAATAGTGAAATTTTGCTTTAAAATACCAATTTTTGGATCAGGGTATGGGAAACATGTTTATGTTTTTAGTCCATTTTAGGGTTTGTTTTTTTTTTTCTATAATTGTAAAAACTGACAAGACCTTAGTTAAATACTTACCCATTATAGTCGTTCAGTGGTGGCCCCAGGGGGTCTGATAGGGTTGGTCCAAACACAGAGCCAACTAGACCCTCGGTCAGAGTCCCGGAATAAAAATCTCTGGGCTTATGGGAGAGTTTTTTTTTTTAGCTTAGTATGGCCCAAAATTTTGCTTTTAAGCCAAAATATTAGGGATTGGCAACCAAATTAATGTTTTATGGATAAGCAAATCATTATTTGTGGTGTAGCAACCTCGTCGTGGCACCGTACAATGGGAGTCTATGCCTGTCTGATGGGAATTCCCCACCTCCCAAGCAAATTTGGAATGGTGACGTCAACACACCAAATTCCAAGACTACTACAATCAAAATTAAAGGAAATGTTTACCTATTTAAATTTAATCTTTCTACACTATATTTTTCATCATCATCATTATTATACTATTATGTTGTTACTTTATAATATTATTAATATAGTACTCTATATAATTATTCTTATGCGTTTCAAAAAAATTATAGTTTATAATTCACATTAATATTAGCATTAGTACTGTTATTCTTACTATACTGATGTCATTATTATTATCATCCCCATGATTGATGATGATGAGGACAAGGATGATGATGGATCATGATGATAATGAGGACTATGATGATGAATGAGTGATGATGATAAGGAGGATAAGGATGAGGTTAATGATGATGAGGATAAGGATGATGATGGATGAGGATGATTAGTAGGTTGTGGTGATGGTGGTGATGATAACGATGATTGTTGAGAATGGTGATGAGGGTTACAATGATGGATGAGGATCAATGCCATAGCCAGGATTTTCAAACGGTGTGGGACAATATCAGGGTGGACCCACTTTACGTTTAAATTTAAACAATGTGGACTGGACACATTTTACGCAAAAATATGAAATATCTGGACCCATATTCTTAAATTTTACCCATTTTTAGCTAAATATGAGAAATCTGGATCCATTTTATGCATAAAATTACATAATTTGGACCAATTTTTAAAATGTGGACCCATTAGAAAAATGGTGTGGGACTTTCCCAACTGTGCCAATAACTGGCTACACCATTGATGATGACGAGGATGATGATGGATGAGGATGAATATGATGAGTATGATGATGAAGAAAATGATGAAGGATGAGGAGGAGGATGAAGATTATGAGGATGATGATAACGACGATAGATGATCGATGAGGACGTGATGAAGATGAGGACGATGACGATAGATGAGTATGATGTGATGATGGTGATGGTGGTGATGATTACAACGATCGATGATAGTAAGGATGATTATGATGATTAGACAAC